CCCCTCCTGGACCCCCTGCAGTTCGCCTACAGAGCCAACAGATCTGTAGACGACGCCATTAACCTGGCCCTCCACCACATCCTACAGCACCTGGACTCCCCGGGGACCTACGCCAGGGTCCTGTTCGTGGACTTCAGCTCTGCCTTCAACACAATCCTGCCATCCCTGCTCCAGGACAAGCTCTCCCAGCTCAACGTGCCCGATTCCACCTGCAGGTGGATCACTGACTTCCTGACGGACAGGAAGCAGCGAGTGCGTCTGGGGAAGAATGTCTCGGACTCTCGGATTATAAATACAGGAGCCCCACAGGGCTGTGTTCTTTCTCCCCTGCTCTTCTCCCTGTACACCAACCACTGCACCTCCAGCCACGACTCCGTGAAGCTGATCAAGTTCGCGGACGACACCACCCTCATTGGACTCATCTCCAACAACGATGAGTCCGCCTACAGGAGGGAGGTGGACCGGCTGGTGTCCTGGTGCAGTGGTAACAACCTGGAGCTGAACGCCCAGAAGACAGTGGAGATGATTGTGGACTTCAGGAAGAGCACTGTCCCCCCGCCCCCACCCTCCGTGATGGACTCCCCCATCACCTCTGTGGAGTCCTTCCGTTTCCTGGGCACCACCATCACCCAGGACCTCAAGTGGGAGCCGACCATCAGCTCCCTCATCAAGAAGGCCCAGCAGAGGATGTACTTCCTGCGGCAGCTCAGGAAAGCCAAGCTGCCTGCACAGATGTTGGTGCAGTTCTACACGGCCATCATCGAGTCCATCCTCACCTCCTCCATCACCGTGTGGTTCGCTGGAGCCACAGTCAGGGACAAACAGAGACTACAGCGCATTGTGCGCTCTGCAGAGGAAGTGATCGGCCGCAGCCTTCCATCGCTGCAGGACCTGTACGTCGCCCGAGCTCGAGGCCGGGCTGGTCGTATCACAGCCGACCCCTCTCACCCTGCACATGGACTATTCCAACCACTCCCCTCAGGCAGGAGGCTGCGGTCCATCAGGACTAGAACCTCCCGCCACAAGAACAGTTTCTTCCCCTCTGCTGTTGGACTCTTGAACACTTCTTAACCTGTCCCCCCGCCCTTTATAAAGTCATTTTACTGCCCATCATACGTCACTTTACTTCACTGTACTGCTGTCACCTTACATTGTGTGCACCATGTGCACTTGTATATTGTAAATAGTAACTGTAACTCTATTTTAAATTTAAATTTATTCTTTAGAAGTGTTTTTTATTCTTATTTTTATTATCTCTTTTTGACTGTTGCACTGAGCCAAAGCAATTTCCAAGTCTGTGACCTCCCGTTACTTACGTTGGCAATAAAAATGATTCTGATTCTGATTCTGATTCTGATCACAACTCTGCAAACAGATTCGGAAATCTCGATTCAACTCAGAACAGCATAACGGCAGTCAAATAGTGATTCAAATGTGTGGATTAAATTGGGCTAAAATACAGTTTTTTACAATACAGCAATTTGAACGCTCGTCAAACTTTTCATGAACTTAATAATATACAGAAGATAAGATATTTACTGGGAGCATGTAGAATACACTGTTACGGTAATGCTAAGAGCTTTGTCCCATAGTGTAAGCTGAGTGACTTCATACTTAAGGACTATAGAGCGGGTGTGCCTGCTGTAAGTGGGTGTGCAGCAGTATCATGTTTCCTCTGTCACAGTCGGTCTAACATGTGAGGGCCTGTGTGTGTGTGAAACTATTGCGCTATTTTCATTCCAAACATTGTGTTGTGATGTGGACAAGAAGTTTCCATGCAAAAAACAAGTATATGAAAACATGGTAGGCTGTTGTATAAGGGCTCTATTGCAAATGTTTTTAGAGGTAGGAGAAAAACCGGAGCACACGGATGTAACCTGAGCAGACACAGGGAGAACATGCAAACTGACGGGGAGTCGAGGAGATCATTTCTTCATGTTTAGTGTTCGTATTCTAGCAACTATTTATTGCATGTCAATCAATACACATACACATTCCATGCAGTATTCTCTGGAGTTAAATTGATGAAGTCAAGCTATGTCCGGTTCATGAATCCAGTTCCATTTTTTTAATCCGTCTCAGAAATCCGTCACTAATCGAATACTTGAAAAGACTGACGTCATTCTGTCGAGGAGTACAAGTGGATCTCTTTATTTTCCCTTAACCTTGAATGAGTCTTTTTACCGGCCACCCCGCTGTCAGATTTTTTGCAGCATGTGTCTCGTTTCTTGGTTTGGTGAGGAGAGAGATGAAAGTATTTCTCGTTTTATTTTTTTGCCAGTCCAGATCTGACACACAGCAGGCTTCTTGGCACAGGGGGAGCTCACAGGGACAGTCTGTGTTGGTTAAGCCTTTACTGATTCTCCTGCTGGCAGGGAGAGGCAGGTGTCGTAACCGGTGTCGGCCACATTGCTAATGCGCATTTTGACGAACACGTATTAGGAAAGCAGTGTAAAAGGGTTTCATTTCTTCTATGTGGGATCTGTAAAGTGCTGGACTATGAAGCGCACCTAAATTTAAACCGCAGCAGCTAAATGTGATAAATAGTGCAAAACAAAGCCAGTATACTGTTTTTTTACTGGACACAACATGGTTTAATGACGAGGTCTTTTAACGCAATGTTGATTTGTTATGGACAAAGCATTTTGGGAAATATAGGAGAACTCAGTTCATTGTGTTATCAATCTGACAATAAACATGCCTCCTATGGCTACTTAAACTGGATGGAATCATAATAAACCGTGCTCTGACAACAGACATAATCTCAAAGTAATAGTCTGGAAATTATAGTGGCTATCTGGCAGTTTAGGTTTGAAAGGGCAAACTTTAAGTTAGGAAGTATGCAAACCTTACACCTAGTAATCAAATAGATAAATCATAGAAATATGTTATCAATGGGGTGACAGTGGCTCAGTTGGTAGAGCCAGTGGTCTTTGGACCTAATCGTTGTGGGTTTGGTCCCCCCACGACTCATATCTCCTGCTCCCACTGCTGTTGTTGTGTCCTTGGGCAAGACACTTAACCCCACTTTGCCTGAAGCCCCCGCTGAAAGACCAAGGCCATGTCTTTGTGGACAGAGGAGCCAGATTGCAAAACCCCAAACCAGAAATGGACTAATAATGGGGAAGAAAATGAATGAATTAATGTTATCAATGTATGTAGTCCATGTAACATAAGACGAGTCCAGGTCTGAACAATAATAAGGATTTATTCACCTGGTGTCTAAGTTCTTTGTCCTAAAGACTAAAAAGGTTTGGCACCACTTGTTACTGCTCCTTGTTCCTTGTTGAAAACTCACAAAGACATGACAGACTATCTTGTCTATTCCACACCAGAATAAATAGACAGTATGGAGGGTATCCTGAAAGACGTTCTAAAATCATTTAAAATTGTGTACTATCCCTTTAAATTAATGAAAAGTCACTTAATGGTCAGAAAGGCTGTGACACACACAAACCCTGAGGTTAGTTTGATTCCATCTCTGAAAAGAAATAAGGGTTATAGTAAGTCTTTCTGTTTCCATGGTGACTCATGACTGATGTCAATTCTGTCCACGTCCCTGAGTTTGAGAATCTGATTGCTACTCTCATGGTGTATTCAACGTACACACGTTTAGACCTTAACAAACTGAAGAAAAGGCAGCTTTGAAAAAGTCTTTTTCGATAGTGGATTAGCATGTTTTTGATGCTCTGCACAGAGACTTCCGTTTGCTATCTCTGCCCACATCAACTGTATTGATGTTTGCAGATCATGTAGAGGCCGGGTCTGAACTTTTACAAATGCCTGAAAATAATCTAGACTTTTGGCTATCATTCAGAATCAGATGAATTCCTGTTTTGCCTTTGTGAGTAACATGAAGTCACAAACAAGGAAATTGCTTTGGCTCTCGGTGAAGACCAGTTTTAAAAGTATAAATAAAGATATGGCATGCATTAAAAAAAATCTGCAAAACATTTCTTAAAATTATATACTGTAAAATTGCACACACAAGTACACACAATAGACATAAAGCATTATGACATATGATAATTTTCTGTTTTTTCCTACAATATAGATTAAATGGAGTATTTAGAGAAATTGATAATGACCTGTTTTTGTCAAAGCTTGATCTTGTCATGTCTCATTAGAACAGGCCCAGGTTAGCACTTTGATGGGTTTGTGTATAACAAATAATAGGTGAGGCACTCATTTTCCATTACATTTATTTCACCAGTAATGGGTGGGCAAAGGTGACTCTCAAGCCTCATTTCCAGGACAGTACAGGATTACTGATTACTTTTCAACTTGTTTAAAGGATTTAGGAGAAGGCCTGAAACAACACCAAACAGGGAGGAAACCAAGTCTACAGTACTCCAAATCTAAACCAGGCATCGACCCAAAGTTTCTCAATAGTTGGGTTGAAATATATCACTTCCATATTCCAGTAAAAGAATAAAAGTTTGTTGATCTGATGCACACGTCATTGTCTGCATGTGGTTTATTTTATGTGAGAAAAAACAATCTTAGTTCTGCTCTGGCTGAAAAAGGTCTGTGTGTTTGCTTGACATTGGTGCGGTCACAGCTGATTGTTCTCATACACTGCATGCACCCAAATAACACATGTACATTTATCATCTCTGTCTCCCAAAAGTAATAAGGTCTGAGGTTCCATTTGTAAATGGATTTCTTTGCCTTTCTGGGTGGGGTTTTCATCTATGAATGATATCATAGATGATATCATAGATAGCAACAGGGAGACACTCACCTACATCTGAAAGGGGAAACAATAATTTCAGTCTTTGAAATCATCACCATTAGGATCACTTGGAGTTTTATGTTCATATAGCAGTCAACATGCAAATCCATGCATACACATGGATTGATGATTTGTCTTTGGCTTCAGGCCACATCAGCTGCTCTTAAATCTTTTTTATTGTAGCAGAGTTTGAAGGCCAAAGGCCCAGTGACTGTTTGCATCGAATTTGACACAGATTATGCCACAGTAGTTTTTTTTTTTTCAGATGCCCGCTGGTCATGGCCTTCGCCCTGTACCCATCACTTCACCCTGCAGAGATGAGCTCTCCGGAGGGAAGCGGAGACCCTGAGGATTCTGTTGAAATGGCAGCTTCAGCACCGCCCCTTTCACCATCGGACTTGGGTCTCCTGTCGCCCCCTCCGGACCTGTGCCCCACGTGCGGACACAGCCACAGCCTCGAGGAGAACCACGAGTACTTGTACCAGGAAGAAGTGGACGATGACCTGGTGTGCCATATCTGCCTACAGGCGCTGATTCGGCCTCTGGACACGCCCTGCGGACACACCTACTGTCAGGAGTGTTTGACCAGTTTTCTATTGGAGAGTGACTTTTGTCCTGTGTGCCGCGCGTCCCTCATGTTACAGAGCTGCAGAAAGCCCAGTCTGCTGGTGCACAAGCTGCTGGACAAGCTCACGGTGATCTGCCCGTTCACCGAGTACTGCACCGAGATAGTGGCCCGCGGAGACCTTGGGGACCACATCAAAAACCGGTGAGCAGCCTTCAAATGACTTCTAATGAGAACATGTTTGTCTGTTGATCATGTCTTTATGGTATGACATATAGAAACACAGTGGCTGACATGGTTTGCACAGCGGTTACTCTCGGTATGAGATCTGAGCAACACAGGGCCTTTGTGTCTGCATCCAGGGTGACAAGGTGAAGAGGGGTGAAATGGGGACGGTGACTGCGTGTACAAGGAACAAATAATAAAACGATCTATTCACTTCTCCAATTCAATTGGATTGAGCAAAACCCATGTAAATCTGTGTGTTCCGGTTTGGAGGTGCTAGAACACACTGTTTCTACAGGGGTCAACCTCACCAGTAACCATGTAACCCATGCTTAACTGAGAATTATAATTTTTAGAATAATGTGATAATTGTGATGAGCACCCAGTTCGCCGCTGCAAATGCTTCTATTCTTTTGTTTTGGTGCATGGCTGCGGACACGTCACTGCCCCCAGTAAACAGATAGTATCTTTATTTATCATTAGAGTTAGACAGTGTGAGTGATAACGCATAGTGACGAGACGTCGTTGAAAGCATCCTCAGGTCTGGAGCCTGGATTCACTGAGATACACTAGGACCAAGCTAGTCCGATCTCTTTGATAATCCCATCAATGAGTGTGATTTTTGACTCTGTATTCTTATGCTTCATGAACGCAGTCAATGCATCTGCCAGTCCCAAGTTGAGAACTGCACGTTTAACATATACAGTATGTGTTGTTGGGAAACTATTCCTCATAATCATATTTTTTGGTCCCCATTTCTTCTTGCTCATATGCAGTAGTCTTCACACACATCTTATTTAGCCTAAACCCGTTGTTGTTTGTTTGTATATCATTAAAAGACACCACTTTCCGCCTCTATGTGGGCATGTTTCCATTAACACTCATTAACACTGCTCTAACCCAAAGGCTTGTCAGATAATTAGTGCAACACAGGCCACACATGAAGACTCTCTCCTACTGGCTGCACACTTCATAAAATGTTGTGTAAAAGTCCAAAAATCTGTTCTTGTTTTTCCCCACCTATTTCTCTTCTTGGTGCAGCTCTGTCTGATGTAGAGACGGTTATAATGAGGTGTGGAGCTATGAGACCTGGTCCTCCAGGACTCGGCTGTTCTCTCGCAGTTAGACGGTGTTATCAGCCGAGGTCCAAGGTCATGTCTGCGGAGATAGAACCAGACTATTGCAAAATGTAAGAAGAAAATTGTGTTGGGTATACTTCCATATAAAAGAAAATAAATGTGTTCATTTCAAGGCCACATGGCAATCTGCAAGACTATGCATCGCAACAGATTGGTTATTATCCACAAGGTCTGATTTGCATCCACAGGGAAATTACTTGAATGTGTTTTGAGAATTACTGTAAACAATTCAACTAACACCAATAATGAATTTTCCACTTTGCCACTGATGTTTTCTGGACATTGATGAGAAAATATTCCGTCCCATTATTCAAAGAAAACCCGTTTGAATGTTTTTTTGCCAACTAAGAAGAAAAATCTAAAATATATAATGGCTTAATTAATTACAATGAATTCAAACCCCTGGGTTGTACGGAACACATTTTGTCTCATGGTAAAAAAAATATGTAGAAAATGTGTTTTCACTTTTGATTCTGCACTGTATGGAGGTTTCATAAGATGGCCATCTGGTGAGAACCATTTCCAAACTCATCTATTCCTAAATGACCTTTTTATGGCCTTTTCATCGCTGAGTTGTCATTCTGGCCACTGTCACTGCAGCTCAGAACAACTTGTTCTTGTTTGAATCAAATATGTTTCTCTGTTTGTTTGACTGTCCTTTCAGGGCACAACAAATCGTTCCCACTTCTGCTTCAAACGTTTATGCCACTGCTCTTTGCTTTGATTCCTTTGAACTTTTTACATATTCATATTTTTCTGCTTTGGACATGGTTTCTATCAATCATGTATATAGTGATAATGTAGTCATTTTCGAGCATCAAGCCAACAGAATGTGAATAATTTACATTTAGTGGCAGAGGACTTTTTCTATTTATTTATTTTCTTCAAACATATGAAGCTGGCAAACCTGTATTTTTAAATGTGTTACTTTTATCTCTGTGCAGCACTTCTTTTATAAAATATGCTATATAATATAATGTGGATTGGATTGGGTTGGATTTAAAAGCCAATTATTTTGTCATTATGTGCTGTGCTTAATCGTTATGTCTGGCCGAAGGCAGAAAAAAAATCCCATAAAATAGAAAAATGGCTTTAGCTCTGAAAACAACAAGACCTATTTTGACATGAGTGTGAGGGATTGGTCAGTGCGAACAGGCTAACGATCCGAAATGACGCGTTTGATTGGGCTTGTGCCGACGTGTGCCAATGGATGCGGTTGATGTGCGAGCTTATGAAAAATCTCCTATGGGGCCCGATGTTCTGTGTTCACAAACTGCATCCTGTCACAATCCAATTACATTTCCATTTCCCGCTGGCCCTGTGGTCCCTCATACACAGCGCTCAAATAAGAGTGTGCCTGCATGCATAAAGCGACACACAGAACGGGAAATCTCAGCCCGTAACCACAGCGCCGCGCATGAAATATTCATCCAGACTTTGGGTATTTACACCAGCTAAGTGTCTTTCCGGAGGCGACGCGCTACAAAAATGAGAAGCCATGGGAAAACAGGTAAAAGGAAAAAAGCGGAAATGAAAGTCAAATATGAAAAGTTTATTAGTGAGTGTAGGCACAGTAAGGAGTTGTGGGTTTAATTCCCGGAACAGCATCTGCATGATGAAATGAGTGGGCCTAATTGCCTGTATAAATATTTAATGTGATAGAGAAGGTAAGTGATTCTATTAACTAGCCAAATCTGTCACCTAATGTCTGTTGTCCAGACTGAGCACAGCCAAAAAGCTCCAAGTTTCTTTTTATCTTCATTAGAAGCACTTATATATTCATCACCACTGTCATTTTTGTTAGACCCTCGCAAGGGTCCAACAGACCTTGAACCAGGAAGTTCTCAGGTCTCTGCACTGACATCTTGTTTCTCAGATGATAGACTTAAACCATCTCTGATTGTGTACTAGTCTCTCCATGGCCTCACATGGAGAGACATGTTAATTTGAACCAACTCGGACTTTGAGGAGCACAGGGACTGGCCTGTATGCAGTTAATACAAAAACAAGAATTAAATGAGCTGTACAAATGAAATTCCCTTGCCACTGGAACATAGAAATTCAAACTGACATTTGATTACCCGATGTACTTTGCCACACAGACTTTTCATTTCATTGGACAGTGGGAGGGGCGACAGTAGCTCAGTTGGTAGAGCATTGGCCTTTGGGCCTGAAGGTCGTGGGTTCGAGCCCACCATAAGACATACTTCACGACTCCCACTGATCACTGCTGTCGTTGTGTCCTTGGGCAAGACACTTAACCCCACTTTGCCCAAAGCCCCAACTGAAAGATCTCAGCTCCTGTGGACTCACCACCTGCAGGAGGATCAGTGAGGGGCTGGTGCTAAGTGTACTGGGTGCAGCTCTGACTGCCACCCCCCCGACCCAGAAATGGATTAAGGGGAAGAAAATGGATGGATGGATGGACAGTGGGAAAAGCAGTCGTGTGAAAATGCATGGAGATCAATTCGCTTCAGACCCGCCCCCTGAAGCGACCCGTAATAACTGTACAGAGCATATGCCCTTCATGCTATGTTACTGCATGGTGCCGCAATCATGGCAATTTTTATGATACCGCGTTGGATGCAAAATGGACGGTTGAACACCATTCTTTGAAACACAAAGTTTCCAAGAATATTTTCCAAGAAATACACCGGCGGCATGTATCATTTCTTTCGACACAAAATGGTGCCATCAAAGGTTCACTTACTCACTCAGCTGCCATTCTTTGCTTGTCTGCTTCATAAAAGGCAAATACAGTCCTCTTGCTCCCTTCCTCTCTTCACAAACCAATCCATTTTCCGCTAAAAAAAGCTTTGCTTAAATGTTACTCCCCACTTTAACCCTCATCATTAAGGCATTCTTCAGTGAGCGCTAATCCAAGCACAGCCATTCAAATGAGCAATGGCTTAACCTTTAGCTCGGTATATTCTTTCTGACATTTAATAAATGCCTGATTGAACTATTCAAAGGAGCACCGGGAACAGGAGGTGAAGATTGATTTCTAGTCGAATGTTGTTTTTTTTGCACCTTGTCGGCCTCTTGCGTCACTCTCCGTAATAAGCTGGAGCAACTGGAGGAATATTGATTTGCTGGTGTGTTTTGGTCATGCTTTGCTTTTTTCCTTTTTTTGCCTACTGGCTGATTCTTTGATGCCTTCAGACCAATCTGCTGCACAGGGAGCAGTCCATCATCACCGGAGAGCGGGTGAGGAGCTTGAAGGCAGCATCACCTCTCATCCACTCATCTGCTTATGTCTGCTCGCTATACATTCTCTCTATAATCATCAAATCAATAGTTGAATTTAAATTACACAAGCACATCTCCTCCATTTAAACGTGTCTGGGAAGGTACAGTGGGCAGTATGAATGGCAGCAGGTACCTCCCCCGGCCCCTGGCTCCTGCCTTTGTTTGGTCTGCTCCATCACAACCCCCCCTTCACTGCTCTCTGCTGCGGTATAAGGCACACGCTGCACTGTTTTCCCTGACACACACTCACCGAAGCGGACAGGAGAACAGCCGGGCAGACATGTCCACACACCAGCGCAAATCCTCTTACAACCCGACAGTGCCCAGAGCAGATTAATGGGCTGCAACATCTGAAATTGCGGTCCAAATGTGCCACCTTTACACGGCTCTTCTCACTCTGTCACTCCTTCCGGCACTTTTGCCTTTTCCTCTTGCTCCTCCGCGGGACTCTGCACCTTGCCTGGGCTTATTCTTCTCCTCCTCCTGCTCCTCCTTCTACTGTCGCTGATGCTCCCCCAAACTCCTCTGTCTTCAACAACCTCTGGCAATGGTCCCGTTTGCCTCTGCGGCTGAGATGACAGGGCAGCCAGC